ACTCAAGAAGACAAAGTCAAGTGTGATAATGAAATGCACAAAGAACTGAAGAAAAAAATCAAGCCCTGACTTGTGATATTGAAGGATTCTATGGATTCCTGGTAAAGTGTTGTAGGATCAGCACTAGTCTTTGAACCACAATGTCAGCAGTTCAAACCCACCAACTGCTCGGAAATCCTATACAGGGTTGCTATGAGTCAGAACTGACTTGACGGCACTTAACAAGAGCAACAATTGGCAAAATATTGAATGTCTCAGAAAGAATCAAAAGAAGATAGAAGGAATACGCAGAAACATTGTACCAAAAAGGAATGGTCACTGTTCAGTGATTTCAAGAGGTAACATATGATCAAGAACCAATGCTTTGAAGGAAGAAGTCCAAGCTGCATTAGCAAATAACAAGACTCTAGGAATTAATGGAACACAAATGGAAAGTTTTCAAGAAACTCACCTATGCCAAGTAATTTAGAAGACATCTACCTGGTCAACAGATTGGAAGAGATCAATATTTGCCCATTCTAAATAGAGGAGACCCATCCAAATGCAAAAATCATCAAGCAATATCATTAATACCACATGCAAAGTTTTACTGAAGATAATTCAAAAATATTTGCAATGGCACATCGACAGGGATTGCTCAAAATCAAGCCAGATTCAGAAGAGAATGTGGGACTAGGGATATCATTGCTGATGTCAGATTGATTGTGACTGAAAGCAGAGAATACCAGAAAGATGTTTACTTGTGCTTTATTGAGTATTTAAGGCTTTTGACTGTGTGAGTCGTGACAAACTATGGATAACATTGTGACGAATGGGTATTCCACAATGCTTAATTGTATTCATGAGGAAACTGTACATAGACCAGGAGCCAGCCATTTGAACAGAATAATGGGACACTGAATGATTTAAAATAAGGAAAGGTGTATTCCAGGGTTGTATCCTTGCAACATACTTATTCAATCTGCATGTTTAGCAAATAATCTGAGAAATTGGATTATGTGAAGAAGAATGTGGCATCAGGACTGGAGAAAGACTCATTAACAACTTGAGATATGTAGATGATACAACCTTGTTTGCTGGGTGCAAAAAGGACTTAAAATATTTGCTGATGGAAATCATTGTGTTGCACCTCAATGTAAAGAAAACAAAAATAATCACAACTAGACCAACAAACATCATAATATATGGAGAAGAGGTTGAAGGTGTCAAAAGACTTCATTTTGCTTGGATACACAAACAACATTCACAGAAACAGCAGTCAACTAATCAATTAATGCATTGCATCAGGCACATCTGAATCTGCAATAACCTTCTTTAAAGTGCTCAAGGGCAAAGATATTAGTTTGAGGACTAAGGTGTGCCTAACCTGAGCCAGGTGTGGTGCTGTGGGTTAATGGGCTGAACTGCAAAGTCGGTCTGAACTGCAAAGTTGGTGGTTCAAGCTCACCAGCCGCTCTTCGGAAACCCCATACAGGGTCACTATGGGTCGGAACCCACACAATGGCGCTTAACAGCAACCCAAACCATAATACTTTTAATTGCCACGTATGCATGTGAAAATTGGCCAATGAATAAGGAAGACTTGAGAAGAATTGATGCATTTGAATTATGGTGTTGGAGAAGAATTATGGTGTTGGAAGAAAGTGCCATGGACTTCCAGAAGAGCAAATAGATCTGTGTTGGAAGAAATATAGTCAGAATGCTCCTCAGAAGCCAGGATGGCAAGACTTCATCTCTCATACTTAGAACATATTATCAGGAGGGACCAGTTCCTGGAGAAGTATATCATGCTTGGCAAAGTGAAAAGTCAATGAAAAAGAGGAAGATCCCCAATGAGATGGATTGAGCAAGTGGCAGCAGCATTTGGTGAGACTTGGTCTATTATACTTCAGACATATTGTCAGGAGGGTCCGGTTCTTGGAGAAGGTTACCATGTTTGGTAAAATGGAGGATCAATGAACAAGAAGAAGACCTCCGATGAGATTGATTGAAACAGTGGCAGCTATAAAAGGGCTCAAACATTAACAATAACTGTGAAGATGACGTAGAACTGGGCAGTGTTTCACTCTGTTTGTGGAGTCACTGTGAGTGGGAACTGATTGGACGGCACCTAACAACAACAGCAACAACTGTGTGTGTGTGTAGTCTTCGTAACTATTCATAAACAGTTCATACCACATGAGTCCAGGAGGCTTGGTGGTGTAATGCCTAAGCTGCTAACCGAAAGGCTGGCAGTTTGAACTACCCAATGATTTCATGGGAGACAGACCTGGTGATTGGCTCCTGTAAAGATGACAGAGACCTATACCTGCAGTGCTGCTCTGTCATGTGAGGTCACTACAAGTTGAAATAGACTCTAGGGTCCCAATAGCAATGACATCCCACAATCCATGCACTTAATTATTTGTTACTTCAAATGTATGCCCTTCGTTGTGGTGGTGGTGGTGATGGTGACGGTGACGGTTATGGGCCATGGAGTCGGTTCCGACTCATAGCGATTTCATACAGTGTTTCTGAGGCTGTAAATCTTTACAGGAGCAGAAGGCCTCATCTTTCTCATGGGGAACAGCTGGTAGTTTCGACCTGCTGACCCTATAGCTGCACGGTTGTAACCACTACATTACCAGAGCTATTTCATTCTCTTTAGGTGTCAGCATTAGACTTGTTCTCTTGTTGCATCCCATTGATTTACTGATGTATTCATTCATTAAAAAAAATGTTTAGTAGCTATGTATGCCTGTTGTGCCGGGCCTGTTCAGGAGTGCCTAAACTGTCTAAAAAATATCACAGTTTAGTTGGGGAGGTAGATATGTACATGAGCAAAACTTGGTGAGATGAGAAATATACTAAGAACTCTTCTGAATTACTCACTTATCCCCTTGACTCCTCATTCCTTGTTAGCCATCCTTCAGGACTCCACTCTAGCCACTTCCTCCATGACTCGCCCTGAAACTTGTCTTTTTACAGAGCTTTTCTCCTCAACTCACAACCCTAGTTTCTGCTAATAAACTCATACCCTTCCTTCTCAGACCTCTAGATGTTCCGAAACTATTTCTACCCTGGACTCATCTACGTCTTCCATCAAATAGCCCTCCTTCACCATCCTACTAAGGCTCCATATTCAGTCCTATAACCCCTTTCTTTACAGTCCCCTAAAATTCCCTCATTCCCTATCCTTCAGTATACTCCCTAAGAAGCCCCCACCTCTGATGAACTCCACTGCCTACCATGCAGCTGCTTGGCCGAGTCTCACAGATAAAATCCTCAATGAAAGATTATGCAGAGTCTAAGTTCATGACCAGGAGTCCTGGTGTTGTGCTGTGGGTTAATGTGCTGCACGACAAAGTCGATTTGAACCGCAAGGTCGGAGGTTCAAGCATACCAGCCGCTCCTCAGAAACCCTATACAGAGTTGCTATGGGTCAGAACTGACTTAACAACAACAACAAAGTTTATGACCAGCCCCTACCAGTCCTCTGGGTCCTTGCCTTAGCTGTCTGGTGCGAGCTCTCCAGCTTCTCAAACTGGCCAGCCAAATCTAGCTGTGGAGATGGAGTCTGAAAATCAATTCCTGCTTTATCCAGGTGTTACTGCACCGCCCAAAATTCCATTTAAAGAGCTCATGAAGTTCTTTTTCTGAAACACGTCTCAAAGTTCACTGTCTTTTTTTTCCAGTAAACTCAATTTTGTGGTCAAGGAAATCCAATGGGATTATATTTCATTTGTTGCAATAGCAGACATCTGGGGCAAAAATATGGATATTGTTTTTACAGCGCAAGAATGTAAAAAAAAAAAAAAAAGAAACCTTAAAGTCTTGTTAGAAAATGCAAAGGTCATGCTGGAGGCAATTGCTTTATTGTCACTGTTGGTCCTTTCAGAAGCGTGCAAGGACTCTCTGTTTAAAAACAGAGAAACTTAGCTCTTATTGACTTTTGTTGTTGTTGTTGTTTTATTCTCCACAGAACTGAAGATGTCATGGAGAATGTGCTGGCTGTTTTACTCATTGTCCTTGTTTCCCTGCTCGGGTTCCTGACGCTGAACCAGGGCTTTTGCAAAGACATGTGGATTCTCCTTTTCTGCGTGGTCATGGCCAGTTGCCAGTATTCTTTGCTAAAGGCAAGACCATCTCTCATTCTTACCAGTAACTTGTGCTCTCACTAACATGTACTTGAGCTCATAAAATGATGACACACCACTTCTGATTTGTGTTGCAGAGCATTCAGCCTGACCCTGCCTCGCCAATTCATGTAAGTTTCAAGCTACAGGCAAGTAGCTGGTCATGTCTGTTTGTACCAGAGACAGGGGGAAGGCCACCATCTATTCAGAAGGCAAAATGCATGGCTGATGTAAAATAGAAATACCAATGGGCAAGTTCAGACTAGGTCTGAGGGTGTGGTGTTGGTGGGGGGCTACTGAAGGTGGAGGAAGAGTGTGAGGAAGGTCTTTTTTGTGCCACTGGATTCACGAAAGAAAAGACAGTACAGCCTCGTGGATCTCATTGCAGATTGCAACGGCTTCATTCACTTGACTTAACTCCTTACTGCGTCTCCACTTCTCTGTTGTATTGTTGTAAAGATGTATATAACACAGCATTTACCAATTCAAGACTTTTCATGTGTACAATTTAGTGATACTGGGTTGCTATGAGTCGGCGCCAACTTAATGGTACTTAACAACAAAAATTACATGAATCATGCTCTGTATCCCTCACCAATATCCACTGCCAAATTTCCCATCATCATGCACAAAAACTCAATGATACCCAAAGAGTGATTACCCCTTTTCTCCCACTTTTAGTAACTACTATTAAACTCTGATATCTATTAAACTTTTCGTCTATTCTAGGTATTTCATCTAAGTGGGATCTTCCAATATTTGTCCTTCTGTGACTGATTTATTTTACTAAGGTTCATCTGTGGTGTAGCAGGTATCAGGACCTGAGTTTTCTTTATAACTGAGTGGTGTTCCATTGTATGTGTAGACCACTTTTTGTTTATCACTTAACCTGTGTCAATGGACATCTCAGTGGTTCCTCCCTTTCAATGATTCCAGACAGCACTGCGAAGAACATTGGTGTCCACGTGCCTTTTTATATCACTGTTTTCAAGACTATTGAGTATAAATCAGTGTGTACAGCTTCATGTGGTAGCTCTCTCTTTAAAGTTTTCTAATTCCACTTCTTGGAAGCTTGGCACTGAGCACAATACTTGTTCACTCCATGCCTTGGTCTCTCTATATGTAAAAAAGGACAATAGTAATATATGAGAGGATTAAATGAAATAATCCATGTAACATGCTTAGAATAGTGTCTAGCATGTGGAAATTGCTCAGAGAATGTTAGCTCTTAGTAGTAATATTAGTTATTATGATTGAATCATTAGCTTGTAAAATGTTTCACGTGATACGGATGTCTTCAAGTGTATTGCAAACTTTTACCCCGTATTTTTGGGTAATTCATCACTGAGATTTTGGGCTCACCAATATGTATTTAGTGACTTGGCATTCTTTGATAAGCCCTACTGAACTGGCAGTTCCCCCCCCTGACCCAATGCCCTCTCCCCTATCTACACTGCAGTGCTGGGGGTTGAGAGACAGCGTCTGGCACTGTCCCTGAAGGTGCCCCACCAAAGGTGCCTTCAAAAGGAATTCACTGCCGGGTGGCACCCCAAGACCTTGAATGACCTACTGTCCTTTGCTATCGTGAGCCCCCACGTGCCCACAGAAAGCCCTTCCAAAGAAAGAAAGCTGATCTTCCCTGCATTGTGCTTCTAAAAAATTCATATCCAGGATTTAGGATGTTTAAAAATCTGTGATAGCTCATGGTTAGCTCACAGTAATTAAGAAAAGCTTATAATTGGACGATCGTATGGCACAAGTTGCTATCTTGTTAAATCCCTCTGTTCCCCATAATTGGTTGGTATATAATACATTTTCTTTTATTCCCAAGTCTGAATGTCAAGATAAGTAGAAGCAAGATAATTAGGGTATTAAGATGTATTGTTGTGATTGTAGTCAGAAATCTGGATTAGGTGGGGTGAGCAGAGAAATGCAGTTCTGAAATTTCTCCTACATGCACATTGTGAATGCTGGGCTCCAGTGAGTCTCTTCCCAGCAATTGCACTTCAGTGTCATGGGGGACAAGGGGAAGGAGGCTGTATGCTATCAAACATTCATTTCCTGCCTGTGCTTTCAGGAATAATTCAGAACCTGCCGGCAAAGGGGCATGGCAGTCCAGCTGTGTAATTCTATGAGATTGTAACGTCTGTGGCTAGAATCTCTGCCCCTGCTTTAGGATGGAGTTTTATTGTGTAGTTTCTCACTGAATAGAAGAAGCTATGATGACTTTTTTATGAGCAAACATGGGCCAGTGAGACAGGGAGATTTTCTTACTGTCAGTGTGGCACAGCCAGATACCTCTGCTTATTGCAGGACTAATTCACTTCACAGAGATTTCCAGCTGGTGAGTCTCACATATGAGTAGCCATTTCTCTAACAGTTCTAATGAGGAAAGAAAATACGGTAGCTGTAAATAGTTCCTTTGGTCATCTGACCGAGCAATGTGGGTAATTAGAAGATGGATATGTGATCTTCAATTTGTAACTGAGAAAACATCAGAAAGGAGTTAAGTCAAGCAAATGAAGCAGAGTTGGTTCTCAAGGCTGCATTGTCTCGAACCCTGGCTAAGTTTTCAATCATACGACTGGTGTGGTGCTATAAGATAAGCACTGAATCACAACATTGGCGGTTCAAGCTTACTCAGAAACCCTACCCAAGGTTGCTCTGAGTCAAAACAACAATAGCAACAATGATTAATCAAACTGCTTTTCAAATTATACAACTATACAACCCTGCTTCAGGGAAGGACTGTCAATACAATCAGACAATTCTTGCTCTCAGGGGCTTGACAGTTTTCTTCTCTGCTTCCAGGAGCATAGGTAGCAAATTATGAGCAAATTACTAAAATCAACAGACAGTGAAATAAAAATAAATTTTGTGTGTGTGATGTAAGCTTATGGCTATTCCAATGTCAAGGGAAACGTTAATCCTGTTAGGCTAATTGATACAGTACAATAGATGCTGGGTCTAAAAGAAACGACTCTGTACCTACAAGAAAACAAACCCAGGAGATCTGTAAGAAATTAAGGAAAGGGAGCTAGTATTGGTAGACAGTTGAGGGACAAAAGCTGGGAATAAGTATTGGGGTTGAGGATGTGTTGTTGTTGTTGTTGTTAAGTGTTGTCAACTCAGTTCTGACTTATAGTGACCCTGTATAGGTTTCCAAGGAGCAGCTGGTGGGTTTGCACTGCTGACCTTGTGGTTTGCAGACCAGTGCTAATCACAGTGCCACAATGGTGGTGGTGGTTTTGTGCCATGGAGTCAGTTCTGACTCATAGTGAACCTGCATGGGAGTTCCAACGCTATAAATCTTTACGGGAGCAGAAAGTCTCAGCTTTCTCCCATGGAGCAGCTGGTAGTTTCAAACTATTGACCTTCAGGTTAGCAGCCCGACTCATAACCACTACACTACCAAAGCTGCTTACAGAGCTACACTAGTGGGCATAAGTACAGGGATTCCCTGTGATCAATAGCTCTCTATTCAAACCAGGTCTAACAATAGCTTCTAATGCTAACCTAAAAAGGAAAAAAAATTAGTAGAATATCTAAGAGGCGGCAAAAACAGGAGTAGTGAGCATTGTAATCACTGCCTACAGGTAGAGCCAGAGGCCAAGTTCTTTGTCATCGCCTGAGATTTGGAGTCACTGCATCTGGGAATGTCCAGGAATATTTATTTTAACAAATCTGGCTGGCAGGTGATTTGGTGTAGGTGATAAAAACTGGGGTATCTGAAAGGCTTTGGGATTGGAATCCAGACTTACCAAATACCATCTGGTGGTGGTGGTGGTCATGTGCTGTGGAGTCAGTTCTGACTCATAGCGACCCTGTACAGTGTTTCTGAGGCTATAAATCTTTACAGGAGCAGAAAGCCTCATCTTTCTCCCACAGAAGAGCTAGTAGTTTCAAACTGCTGACCTTGAGGTTCGCAACCCGATTGGTAACCACTATGCTACCAGAGCTCCTTCTATGGGGTCTTAAAGATACTTCTCAAAATCCCAGTTGTCCTCATCTATAAGTGAACAACAACAGAACAGGATTGAATGGGGAATTAAATTGAATGGGGAATGGATTGAATTAAACAAGACAATGCACTTCAATTGTTTGCCTGGTATTTGGTCCTGTGGGAGAACTTTGTGAATGTTCGCTGTAATAATAACCTCAGGTGGATTTGGCAGAGAGTAACCTGGGCACTAGCACAGTGAGCTCAGTGCAGAACCTAGAATATAATCTGTCCTCTAAACGTTTCTCTTCCTTTCTCCTTTTGTCTTGTTTCCCTGCTTACAAAGAACTAAGGCTATAACTTCTTCTGGGCTGTACTCAATAAGCTGTTACTACAAAATGAAGAGATTTGGTATCCACTTCAGGTTATATAATGATCATCAAGAATGACTTTTAAAATTAAACTTCTTTATTTTAGAACAGTTTTGGATTTTCAACAAAATTGAGAAATGATAGAGAGTTTCCATACAACCCACTTCGAAAGCCAGAAAGCAAAGCAAACCCTTTTCCACTGAGTTGATTCCAACTCACAGTGACAGCAAACGACAAAGTAGAATGGCTCCTTATGTTCCCAGAGCACTGATCTTTACGGAAGCAGACTGCCGCATCATTCCTCCACAGGGTGACTGGTGGGTTGAAATCCCTGAACTTTCTGGTTAGCAGGCGAGGATTAAAACACTGAGTCACCAGGGAACAGTTCATGCCAGCTTTCTCTATTTTTAACATATTGCAATAATCTGGTTCATTCGCCACAATTAATGAAGCAATAATGATAAATTATTATTAGCTTAATTCAAAGTTCATACTTGAGTCACATTTCTCTCATTTCCCCCACCCTAATGTCTTTTCTCCTGACAATATGTCCAATGGCACCTAACAACAACAACAATAAATGTCTTTCTCTGTTCCAGGATCCCAATCAAGACACCAATTACATTTAGTTGTCTGGTCTTCTTAGGGTATGATAGTTTCTCAATTTTGCTTGTTTTTTTTTTTTGATGACATTGACAATTCTGAGAAAGACTGAATATATATTTTTAGTACAATGTCCCTCTATTGGGATTGTCTGATGTTTTTCTCATGATTAGGTTGGTTATACACTTTGGGAGGAAGATCACATAAGTAAAGTGCC